AGTACCCATGAGTGCAAATCCAGATCAGGGGGAATTTTTCAAGGATTTTAACTCTCCTGTAATTTTTCACCATTTTCCTTCATTTCTCAGAGAAATATTCATGGATCTTGGATGATCTTGATAAAACAAAATCTGGCATATTGAAGGGACTAAAATCTAAAATCTATTGCCAAAAAAAAATCAGGATCTACTGAATTTAAATGTGCTTTAATAAGGGGACTGTTGGGCCTTGGTGTGCCACTCTAGATCCTGACCGGGCAGACAGTGAGGAGGGCTGGGTTTGGACTGTGATGGCATGCTGCAGGCTGTGTTTGGTTGGAGCCCACCAAGGTTAATGTAACTGCTGTTTTCTGGGTGACACCTTCAGTCTGTGACAGGCCTGCGAGGGCCGGGTGCTCGTGGCACTTTCCATGATACCCCACCGATCTGCAGTCGGGTCCAGTTCAGGTACACCCCCCGAAGGCCCCGTTGACCTTCTTTCACGAGCAATTATTTTCATGCTTGGTGCGGTGACATCATGGTGCTGCGTGGCCATTTAGCTAAACCAACACTCTGTCTCTTTGATGGACTTGTGGCAGGTAATGATGGCCACTTATATCAGGCAAAATATTTTCATGAACTTGCACCAGATCATCCTTGAAATAATTCACAGTGGAATAGTTTGGTTATGTTCAAGAATGCATGCACACATTTGGGTTAAATGCTCCTGTTTGTTCTTAATAATTAGTTATCAAGATGTAAAACAATGGTTTTTCAGGTTGCCTTGGCAGTGTTTAACCAAAGTGATGCCGCAGTCTGTGGCCACGCATGGAGCGTTTCCGCTTGCCCTGAGCAGAAATGTGACCACAGGCTGGCGTACAGTATGTCAGTTTGTGCACCGTGCTGGAGACTGACGAGGGGGCTCACCCTAGCAGATAGCCGGCTGTTGTCCTAAAAGTGCAGCACATTGCTGGATCGCCCCAGGACAGAGAATCAGGGACAGCAAAGGACAATAGAGTGCATGCTGCATGTTCTGCTGATATCAGCCCACTCTTGTAACAAACAAGCAAACAAACAAACAGTGATTTAATGGCTTTTTAGTCACTCATACAAAAATGAATTATGCAGTTTCCACTGGATATGCTACTGTGAAGATTTTGAGACATCATTTATGCAAGAGAGTGTTTTCTTCACTCATTAGGTCAGCTATGCACTTGAATAGTGCATCTTTGCCGAGGGAATCCAAACGCTAGATTAGATGTAATTGAGAGAAATAAAGCCATGCTTCAAGCAGTTAAGCCTTTTGCATTAAAGCGTGCACTGAAATGCTCTCTGTTAATCTCTGATCAAGTGGGATATTACCTCTTATGAAGAGCTCAGTAAATGCTCATTAAAGCGTTGCACCGTAAATGCCTGAATAATTATGAAATCATTTCACCTCCACATAAAATCAGAGAGTTTACCAAACAGTGAGCAGCAATAAAGTGAATGAACTTTTAGATTGTGAAGGAGCATGACAAATGTGTGGTGACGTTACACATGTCAGTTTTTAATCCTGAACATACTTTTCACCCTCCTGGTCATGCAGTACATATGTCAAGGGTAGGGACAACAGCCTCCTGCCAATGTCTCATACCAGGCTGAATCTGTTTGAATCAGACTCATGCATGAATGGACCTCACATAGACTCTATTGCTCATGCAGCGTAGTGCCTCTGATTATTTTATCATGACAATTTGCAGCCACTCACGCTGACGCCTCTTTAGAAGCACTTATTAGCGTTGATCAATGCGCACATGTGGTCACACAGCCTTTGTCACGATCCTGCAGGAGACTGTCAACATATTGCATAAAGACGCAACATTGACAGCTTATGGCAAAGAGCCTTGATACCACAGATCAAATCACAATTTCTATTACATGACAGTGTGTTACCAAGACGACAAATGTCACCGACACCCATGCCCACCTTGCATTTTTGCCACGTGCCATATTTTTCCATTATACAGGATTAGAAACAGGTGTTAGTGTGTGAACATGTGCGTGTGTGTGTCTTTGAGTGTATGCAGATGTATTAACACAACCATCACATGCTCTGAGTAGATTTGTGTTTATTTTTTTGACAAGTGGTCCTGTGTGCTCTGTGTGCGTGCATGTGTGTGTGTATACTGTCGTAGGCCAGTGACAGCTGAAGAAGAGGACTGTATTTGTGGAGGAACAGCATGGCTGCAGAGAGGAGTGGAGATCCTGAGGGAGGCCTAATGGTTCCACTCCTTCCTGCACAGAGATAAAGACTCATAATAAGCGTGTATGCTCACCATCTGGCCCTGTGCATGTGGCCCTTATGGAGGCGAAAGCAGCGCAATCTGTAAACGATCAGGAGCCATGGCGCTCCCCCTAGAGAGGCCGCCATGCAATCAAGGTGACAGATGGCAGCACCACTGCTGTGGCCTCATGAAGGAGATCAAAATCACCTTCAATAAACTCTGACTGGAATGGGCACAGGCCCCTCAAAAAGTCAGTTTGTCAGTCAAACTGTGGCAGCTTGCTGAAACAGGGGTAAAACACAGCGGTCCGTCCGTCCACCGCCTGATTTCCATATTTTCCGTCTGACTGAGCCTGAACTGTGATCTTTCTCCAGTTGTCCTCTCGACTCGTGCCGGCGTGGGCGAGCTGGCTGCCAGGATTACCAATGCTACTGGGGGGGAATTCAGAACAAGATGCTGCTAATGTGGGGCAATAGGAGCGGATTGTGGTTGAGAGGCATTAAATAACCAACTGGTATTCTTTTTTGTGATATGACAGGACCCCCATGAGTTGCCTCTCTTTGTTTATTTAATTGCACATTTTTACACACACACACACACACACACACACACACACACACACACACACACACACACACACACACACACACACACACCAACAAACCCAAGCACCATTATACAGTAACACATCTCATCACCATAACATAGCTTTACATTCAGCCGAGGGCTCATACTGAATTCTCTGACGATTTTTTGTTTTAACATCTGATGGAGCAGCATGGTCCGGCCTCCGCATCGTGTCTGTATCTCAGTGGTTGTGTCCCGAGCATGGAGACAGAAATGCTTGGGAATGCTATTTCACACATCCCCTTCATCTGATGCGCAGCTTCTGTCAGTGATGTGAGAAAAACAGCCTGACTCTCCAAGCTTTTTTTTGCACCAGTGCAAAAGTTCAAAATTGAAACGCCATCTGTTCAATGAAACTAATCTAGGCAGGCAGAGCTGCTTCCTGTCCTGATTGGATGTGTTTCTTGTCTTTGAACTCTCCGCCACAAGGTTCAGAATCAACCCAGTATATTGTCATTTGTAAAGGAAGTTAGATTTTAAATATTAAATCATTATAAAAATAATATATATTTTTAATCATATTTATCATGTTCCTCCGTGTCATTAATTCAGCTGCAGGCACTTTTATTGGACATTATATATCTGGATTCAGCCTCTTGACCATCTACACTCTTTAGTTCTAATAAAACGAGGCCCTAAGTACTTTCGGAGAAAATCGATTGTCCTCTCCTCCTCTGCAGCCCTTAAGCACTCACTTAGTTAATTGCCACACTTATTTGATTAATTGGACAAGTTCCATTGTAGTCTCCCTCTACCTCCTGTGTTTTATAGAGGTGTCCTGGAGTACGCTTAATCATCCACTTTCAAACATTTTTACCAATGTTAAATATGTGCACTTTAACTAATAATTAGATCAATTACACTAATTAGTATCATAAGTTGAATTGGAAACAGTAAAGTGGCTTTTAGATTTCATATCTATAGTGGGCTGGCTTTGTGACTCCAGTCTTAAATCTGTGACCAGTGTGTGTCTGGATGTGCAGCAAGGACGTCGGGGCTCGAGTCAGCCCAATTAAGGTTAAAATAATAGTGCTTAAAAAAAATCACCCAAATTGAATTGGTTTTATTTGGCCAATATATTAGCTGCTAGACCGGAGACGACTGCACAAGAGCTGAGTCTTATAAGGACTTTTTTAACCATTAGTTCAGCTTTTCAAATACTATACTTCATGCTGTACTCTGACTACTCTGTTGGACCTTAAATGGTCCTGCTATAAAAGTCATTTTTCATATTTTACAGGCCGCTCTATAGATTTTTTAATCTAGAAAAAAAGTGGTACTATTGTTGTTATTTGTACTGAAAGGATGTAGCTGTTGATGTGTATTTTTTTTATAAATTCTAATTTGAATAATGGTTGGGCAACAATTAATTCATTTTAGCAGGGTAAATTGTTCTGGGAAAATTGAGAGATAACCTGCTAATATGACTCAATCATGAAACCTTGTCCTTACGGCCACCCTTGAGTCTAAATCTAATATTATGATTGCCAATATTTCAGCAAGCACTGTTCTGATATAGTGAATGTTTTTAAATTAATGAATTAGATTAACCTGCCGAACAGCAAACCTGGTCCCGGGAAGTATTCCAGTTTAAAGTCACTTAGAGCAGGAGGGGTCAAGCAGCTTAAATATGCCCAGGGGACTTCAAGCTGGTTAATATGGTTATGGGGTGATCTGCAAAAAAGGTTAAGTCACAAATATTAAGTTGAATTTGTAAATATTTGGTTAAATTCACAAATACCAGTCACAAATAGGTTGAATATTAGTTCAAAGTCATAAATATCAGGCTGAATTCACAAATGTCAGGTTGAATTTAAAAATATCAAATTAAAATGAATATATTTTAAGTTAAATTCAAAAATATAAGATTAGATAAAAACAATGTTAAATTCACAAAAATCAGGTTAAATTAAAAATGATTGAGTCACATTCACAAATATCAGGTTAGATTGGCAGACATAATGTTTTTCTCAGGTTTCACCACATTTTTTCCACCGTCAGTATTTTTTTATGTGGTCGGTGGTGGGCGGGGCTTAACCAACGAGCCGACAGGTGAGTTGTACTGTGACGTGCAGCTCAGCTGGAGGATGCTATCAATGGTGCTATCAATGGTGCTATCAATGGTGCTATCAATGGTGCTATCAATGGTGCTATCAATGGTGCTATCAATGATGCTATGAACTGAATCCGGACAAATGTGCTCTACCTGTCCACCTGCTGTTGATGGACACCTGTTCAGCTGGACTTTTACCGGACACGTTTCAACGTGAAGGAGGGCTTCTGGACGCGTCACCTGAGTAGCGTTAGCATCCAGCTAACAACAGGTAAGCGCCCAGCAACCAACTGTCCGTATCGTCTTTGCTACAGACAAACACACGCTTCATGCTTCACAGCACCAAGACACATAAATATAGAGATTGTCGTAAATGTCATTTTAGTCTTTGGTTGGAGGACACATCAGGTTTTAGCAGTTAGCAGAGATGCTATAGAGACAGTTAGCCTACTGTTGACCCCTGACTTACAGGCCTCTTCAGCACATACACTGCACCATGGAGCAGGAACATTGCTGGACACATAAGAAACATAAGTTGGGGACTTAATGTTTGCAGGAAGTTATATTAACTTGAGCTGATTGTTTATTATCTGTCGCTCTGATTTCTCAATGAGTCATTTTGATAATTAAATCCTGTATAGTCACATTTCCGCGGTGCCACATTTTAATAACTTATTTCTTTTTCAAACCAACAGTCAAAAAACAGTTCTAAGTTTGATATAAAGCAGCAGCAAATCAAACAGTTTTAAAAAGAGTTTCAGGTAAATTTTCTGTGGATTGATTAGTTTATTAATAGTTGTTTTAGCTGTTGTTAAGATGTTGTGATAACTGACAGAGACCGTATACCCAGAGCATAACCCACTCATCGCTTTATTAATGTATGTCACTACTGTTTTAAATGGAATGCATAGGTTGAGTTTAATGAAGGTGTTGTACGTGAACCTGACAGGGATAAGGGTAATCACAGACACACTTTTTAGAGAATCAAATATTTATTTCATGGGTGTGTTTTTCAGATGATGCAGAAGGATGCAACTTAGTTCCTCCTTAAAACCCTTTAGTGAGAAATGGTGTCAGGTCCCACCCTCACCCTTGTATCAGTATGTAAAGACTCTGCAGAGCAACACAGCTTGTTTACTGAGTAAGTATTTATAGGAAGGCACAGTGCTCTGTATGATAAAACACGAATACGTTTATTTTATTATGGAGCAGGTTTTTATCTGAATTGATGAATGTGAGTGATAAAGTTAAGATCAGGTGTTTGAGTAGGATGACATGATGTGATGCTTGTTTTATAGGGTTTCTTTGGCCTTGTTAAAATGTTCTGTTCTGAAGAGGAAAAAAGTGACGGGAGCTTTGAACCCGGTTGAACCTCAAATGTTCCTTCATGAAGACTTTATGAAGGAAATGCAGAGAAGGGCAATTGGGTTGATCCCAGGTGGACATTTTGGCTTTGGGGCTCTTCTATGATTGGATTAAATCATACTGATTCATGAATGGGCTCACTCAGTCCCCATTGATTTGTCAGATGAGGATTTTAATTTGAGCCTCACCTGATAGATGCTGGTAATTTATGCTGATTAGAAATAAAGCATCATATTTTCCTTTATCATCCCCCACCCGTCTGAACAAGAAGAAGATTTTTCCAGAAGGGTATAAGGACAGCGGTTGATTAGTTGTAATGTGACCGCAGTACCCCACAGGCTTAAATTTATGTCCTCCATTTGAACTGTGGCTGCATGTGCTGTATACATCAGGTTTGTTAATGAAATTTGTGGCCAGGAGGGAGTCGGTTGTTCAGCGCTTTGACACATAATTGTGTGAAATCTAACCTTTCAAACTTCAAGTCAGCACTACTTTAATTGTAATATTATTATTCCTTACATCAAAATGTAATATGTGGTGTTTCTTCATAGATTATTACTTTCAGACTGTTAGAAATAATGAAATGAGTTTTATTTAATCATTGTTCATATTGTCTCCTCTGTTGCTGTAAATGTTACACACACATTAATGAAAAACTATTCTTCACATCAGCATTGTCACCAGCAGCTCTGCAGCACCTGCTCTGTGTGTGGATGAGTGGCAAAGTGAGTTCAGTGCTGTTCTGCATTAACATGAGGATCTGTGTATGCTGCTGTCCTCTCCGTCCTGTCTATGTGCGTATGACTGACAGGTGTCAGAGTTGTCACGGCTTCCCAGGCCACTGTGTGCGATGTGCAGGGACAGGCTGGGATAGAGGTGGTGGAGGAGAGGGTCAAAGAGAGTCTGTCATTTCGTCTCGGGCCGTTCTCTTTCTGACATGCATCCTCACCCCCGTATTGTCTATCAGCATCACCAGATGACTGACAAAGAGACTGTGCAGCTACAGACAGGTCCACATCAGGACTGTGTGTGTGCCTCTTTGCTCTGTATGTACTTGAATGGCTTATGTAAGTGTTACATATAAAACAGTGGCGTGCCATTGCTTTGGGAGATCAGCATATCCTCACAGCAGAAGAGAGCCTGCTGGCTACTCACTGCCCTCTTCCCCTTTGCAGTCACTGACTGACTCCACTCTGGCCATCAAAATGCTGACTGCTTTCCAAAAACTTGATTTCACAAATGGAAAAACAGCATCTGCTTTCCTACAGCTTAACATATGGCGGCCATAGCTGCTCATATGAACTGAAGCAGGTAAACTGGGCAGGGGGTTGGCCCCTTGGGGACCTTTAACAGAGGGCTTGGCCCTGGGGACTCTGCTGGGCCACTCAGCAGTTAGGGCCACGCTGTCCTGAGCCAGATGAACCTGCATATGAAATGAGGCACAGAGAGCTGGGGACCATGAACATGTAGGAAACCAGACGCTCTACAGTCGTGGTGTGGATTTTTGTTTTAGCATAAGAATGTCAAGTAACATTATAACATTAAAGTGTTTAACACTTTTATTTGTTTACTGCTGTTTTTAGTTGAAATGTAGGATGCAATTGTCAGCATATCTTGATACCATTCATTGTGGACTTCAGAATCAGGTTTAAATGATCATAATGAATTTTGAGATTATATTTCAAAAGAAAAATGTCAAATGGAAGCTACAGAGAGAACCTGCAGCTCCATCCAAAGGTGCAGTTAGAACAGATTTGACTTGTTCTGCATTTCCATCCGGAGAGTCTGATGGAACTTGAACTAGATTGAACTACACGTGAAATTGCACAGCTCTCAAATGTCCAGCCAGTTTCAGAGAGAGAGTGGGATGGACCTCTGTCAGGAATTTTTGTTTATGTTGATGATATTGCTTTTTAACTGCATTGCAAGATAAAATAAGCAGTGGAGAAGAATGGAAGCTTCCTGGCTCTGAAGGAATTAAATACTTTGCAGCTGTTGTCAGCCTGTAATCCATTTATTTTAGCATTTATGTTCACTGTACTTCCTGTCCCCCTCCGGTTTGTCGCCATGCAAGTAAATAGTCCGACTGCAATGTAATGCCATGTCCACACCATCCTCATAGGTGCAGTCTGGTCTGCTTTTTTTTTTTTAGTTTGGCCTTGGATCTTCTTCCCAGTGCAGTTATACGTGTCATTGGGTTACCTTCTTTTAGCGGACTGTCTCTCTCTTCCTCCCCTCCCCCTGGTCTCGTTCTCCTGGCGGTGTTACCGGTGATCACAGCGTGATAGACTGTCCTTGTGGAGCCAGGAGCACTGTTTACAGCTCTTTTGGTGTCAATGCCTCCTGTCTGCTCCAATTTCCACTTCACTGCTGTACCTTCCACACTTTGGTCCCTTCAGGATGTACACATCTATTATACACTATTTAACGGAAAGGGGAGAGATGCCAGAAAAACACAAAGGTAGCTCAGGCTTTTAACCTCTTTATGTGATTTGTGCTCTCTTTTAAACAAACAAACAGATGCTCACACAAACACACACAAACAAATAAATTAGAGATCAGCTATCAGTTGGTTACGTCATTACCAATATCCGCCTGTGGGTAACCTTGAATTGAATGAAGTGTAATGATTGCTAATTGCCTTGTTAGTATGAAAACAAAGCTGCGTTTTTTTGTGCTGTAGGACTAAATTACCAGGAAACAAACAAGTGGATTGGAACATGTGAATAAGGATGTTTTTACATGAGCATCTGTGGATACAGCTGCCGCTTACTCTGACCATCCTGCCTGCTCCTCTCTGTTTCTCTCAGGCTCAAACAAACAAAGCCAAACAAGACAGCAGCCTCATGTTCCTGTTTTTTGGGTAAGTGTTATAATCCACGGGCCCAGTTGTTTATGACACTAGTTCATGTCTTTGTCTGGCGAATCAAAGCCACACCCATCTACATCATACGTGGCAAGTCTCGTCTGTTTTACGAGTTTGTTTTTAAGTTAACACCTGAAACTGTGAACGACATCACTTATGGAATATTAACATTATCACTCGCATACCCTCTGGTAATGATTGTGATAAATGACACTCTGGGGCACTTGTTTCTTCGACAGCAGAAGCTATCATGTTGCTGATGAAACACACACTCACTTTTATTCTTTCTCCTTCTCGCACCTTCCTCTTCATCCCCAGAGAACTTTGTTTATCTCAGCAGCCACCTGCCACCGCAGGAGCCAGAATGAGATTCAAAGGCCTTTTGTCCCAATCAGCTTTTCCTATCAGGCTAAATGCTCTCTGGAGACGGGGCTTATTACATGACACGATCCTCAGAGTAGATAAATGGCCATCCATGTCACGAGCTGGACCCCACTCGTGGGGGAGAGTACGTGGGGGTGAGGAGACAGACAGCTTGGGGTCCAAGAGATGAAAGGAGCCCATAGCTTTATTGACGTTTTAATCAAAAACAGTTAGCACTGAATCAGTCCGTTTGGAAGCAACAATTCAGGGAAGCTTTTCATGGCTGCCTATTGAAAAAAATGCACGGATTGAAATGCAGACCTTGCTGACATATAATTTACCTGCTGTCAGTCTGTATATGCATGTTTTTATTCAACACAGACACACGCACACACAGACACACAAACACACACAGACAGACACAGATAGACAGACCCTCCCTTCACATCCTTCGTCACCTGTTTTAACCCCCACTAAATTTTTTTCAGTGATTTGCGCTTGTGAGCATTGGTTATATATTCACAAATAAAAGAGACTTGGAAGAAGTTAGTTTAAAGTCGGTTCTTTTTAGTGAGCAGTCATTCTGCAGACAGAGCCTGTCGAGTGTCACAGTCTGAGGTGTTTGTGTTTCTCAGGACAGCAGATGATTGAGCAAATGAATGCAATGTAAAGGTTCTGGAAATCATGTAAATACCAGAAAAGAACCTGCACATGAACACAGGTAATTACAGTTATTAAGTTGGTCACACCAGTGCTCAGGTTGACAAACAATATATCATCTTTTTTGGGCTTTGGGGGTCACTGTATTTCTACTTTTGAGTTAGACCATCATTAACCTGGGCAAAGGTCTAATTAGAATAAATAGAAAAGAACTGTGTGGCCTTTAGAACGTTCGTAATTATGATGCTGAGATGAGCTGATGGTCTCAGTTCTGCATCAACGATGCTGATGATGTTTTAATGGCATGAACGTTTGCTGTATCGTACAGATTTTCTACATTACAATCAAATGTCATGTATTCATCTGTGTAAAGGTTGATGTTGATACTCCTAATGGGTCAATAGTGTCGGCATATACCGAACTGGATATTCAATTGTCCTTCCCATTGTTAACATGCCCATTTTTGCGAACTTGTGGTTGTCGTTTATGTTGATGAGCCCCAGTCGCCATTATTACAGTGCGCTGGTCGTCTGTATATTCAATGTTTATTAATATTGAATATATTGAATATATTGCATATATAGTCCAAATCGCACCAATTTTAACAGTACACTTCCTTGGGACCTTAATACGCATGTCAATTGTGAAGATGAACTGTTTTTAAGTTTTGCATTTCACATTCAGACAGATGGAGATTTCTTGAATTATTAGTAAGATGAGCTAAATTACATGAAGTAAATTGAGAAAATGTAAACAGACCAAATATGTTAAGTTTTTTGCTTCATTTGTTACAGTTTGCTTTTAAAACTGATGACCTTTGACGACTCACTGACGATTGACGTGCTAGGGGCATTTAAAGTCAAGTAGCAAATCTGTGTTTATCTTCGGATGACAGGATTGTTTGTATAATTTATGTGTAGTGTATATTTATTTTTACTCTATATGCCGCCTCACAGTATGAAATATGTATTATAACATCCTGGTGTCCGCTCCTGGTGCTTATGAATGTTGCCTCAGTTCACCTCTGCCACATCTGATTTCTCCCTCAGGATTTGAATGTTTAGAGAATGTTACACACCAGGAATCTCAAACAATAACATTTCTGCTAAATTATTCATTTTGCACGCGTTAATGTGAGTCAGAGAATGCAGCAAAGAATTTTCCACACTCAGAACTACACAACTAATTGTTAAGCACACTCCACTGGGTTAAAGATGGAGATGTTGCCACAGACCTTTCATCAAACATTAATGCGTGGTACCAATGATTTCATGCAGTTTGTTCTTAACATCTCGCTCTTAGTGACACTGGAAAAAATCATGAAAACTAATCATAAATTACAAAATGATAATGGGAGGAGGGACCGGGAGAAGAGGCTCTGCTCCCCGACCGGTCATAAGTTGATCATCTTAAGCTCTGAGCTGCAGGTAGGCGATGACAGCTGCTTAATTTGGTTTTGTCGCCAGGGTGACTTAATCCTGTAACGGGCCCCAGTGACAGCGGCCTCACAGACGGCTGAGAGAGGGAACAGCACTCTGGTTGCCCGTTTACAGATGCAGCAATAGAAACCAAGGTCACTTTAATTAACTGCCAAATTACAATTTAAACGATAATACTAATCACTCACTTTTGCAGTAGCAAGAAGCTACTAGCTGTCATGTTAATTTAAGGCTATGGGGGAAAATGGACATTTCCACGTCTGCCTCACAGTGGGGTTTGAGTCTGTGCTACGCTGTTTTCATTTTCTCTGTGTGATGCCACTTCCTCAAATCAAGAGCAGGGTAACCCGACTGTTTCTTACAGTTCTTCTTCACTTATTGTTATCGTAACATCTCCTTCTCTCACTGTTTGTGTTTTCTTCTCATATTGAATCTCTCTCCTCCTCTCCCTTGTCAGTCTCTCTGGATTTTAATTAGATGCCACTGATGCCTTAATCTTTGTGAATTTCCTGTAGTTTGGCTGCAGAGACAAAAGGGCTTCATTACAACAAGTTTCCTCTTTGAGGCATCTGGAATTAAATAAATAGGTACACTAAAATCCACATAGACATCCTAAACCCTTCTGCTCATGGTTTTGTTTTATTTTTAAGTGAGGACAACATATTCAAGCAAAACCACAGGAAATGGTTGAAATGGTCAATGTTCCATTTCAGTTGCTTGAAACAGAAGTTCCTTCTTAGAAATAAACTCATTTGCTTTCTAGAGGAAATTTGCATGAAAATAATTCCACTTTCTTTGTTTAATCCATACAAAAGTGAAGTGTAAGAGATGACAATTCATCTATTTAAATGGGATTACGTGTCAGAGTAATACAGATCATTTTCTGTGTTCATTGTTTTCTATAAGATGCACCAATCACCAATTTCCTACACCCCAAGTTGACAAATTTAAATATTGCTTTGTCCTACCAATTCAAAAGCCCAATGTATTCAGTTTACTATAATTGAAGACTAAGGAATACAAACTAATTTCTGTTTGAGAGGCTGAACCCAATTATTTTTTGGGCATTTTTGCTTAAAACATTACTTCTTCATTGACTTTGAATCATGGAGTCTTAACCTTTCTGTTATTGTGGACTGTCATGGAGCCTAGTTGGACACAGTAGAGATTAGGTAAGTTCCAGACCATGGGATATTTATTCAAGCCAACCTCCAACCCATTACAGTTACTGCCCATCTGCCACTGCTGCCACTCGGAGCCCTCCTAAAGGTTACTCATTTACATATGGGGGGGGGCAGTGTCCACTGATAACAGAGCTTCAATCAATCAATGCTTCATGATTAGTGCCATGTAAAATCCCAGCAGTTGGTTAAAACTATGCCTTTCTTGCCTTGTTGCCACTTTTCAAATGAGGTCCTGGAATGCTACGACAAGTAACTGGAAACTACTGAATGGAAAAATTCCTAATTTCTCAGATAAATTATGACGGGGGGCCTGAAATTGATTTATTATTGTGATCGTTAGCCATATGGCACACACTGCTTCCCCCCTCCTAACATTCGAAAATCTGCGATCACAGGGCTAGGTCAGTGCAACCTTTACCATTGCACAAATGAATCTCAGTCTAGTCAGAGGCAAAGGACAACAGAGAAATTTACTCAAGCTGCATTCACAATAAAACAATGGAAGATATACAGTGATCAGCTGCCGCATTAAAATCAGTAAGTGGTTTTAATGTTGTGGCAGATGGGTGCATATCTGTGGTTCATTTTGAAATAGTTCATTCAGAACAATCAGTATTGTGATTTAAAACTTATTTTGTAGGTTCATTTTTTTTTTTATTGGCTCCATGCAAGTCTATACTATCTGCCACAACGTTATAACCAGTTACCTGATGTCAAAGGAAACCTTAATAAGAACAGTTTGCTAAAAGGTAGTAATAAACTGTTATTGACTCCAAAGATCTCATCAAAAACACAGGAAAATGACCTGACATCAATTCTTACATTACATATGCAAGTTATGGAGCATTGTAAGCATTCATTTCCAGTTGTGATTCTGGTCCCCAGTTCGATCTTCACTCTCTTTTTGGCTCTATTTGGTCTCTACCAGCTCCTGGATGGAAAAACAAGTCTTTAGCTGCTAAATGCTTCACTATATGCATAAGCTAGTCACTATTTGGTGTTGTCCAAACAGTGACTAGCTTACATGATATTCACTGTGCTTTTTAGGGAACTACCTAATCGAAACAATGAGCTGAAAAACACTAAAAAGTTGATTGATAATTATATGGATGGATAATTTTTATTCACCCTTTTTACACCCACTGTGATTTGTTACTGTCAACATATAATGACTGTAGAAGCGTTCTCTGATAGAACCCCAAACCCCAAAATATTAAATTATATCGTGGTTTGTAATTTTAATTTAATTTTTAACTCATGGCATAACGGAAAATTAGACTGACAACCATCTCCATGTTCTTTTTCTCAGAAAGGGGATGAATCGACAACCTTACACGATACTTTAATTAAT